TTAAATAAGATGTATATTTATCCTAATTAGTGCTGAGCAAAACTTAATCGCCATTAATCGCATCCAATATAAAAGTTTGTTTTGACATAATATATGTGCGTGTACTGTGTATATTTATTATGTATGTATAAATATGCAAGTAAATGCATATATTTGAGAATATGCTTGTTTATATTTAGATATACAATGTATATGCATATGATACAAATTATAGATACATTTAAATATCTAAACTATATATACAACAGTTCTGTCTGGTTCTTAAATCTGATTTGCTGACAGCCTTGAGATATTAAAGTAATATCAGCACTCGCACAGCCTCTTCACCCTTGTTTATTACTCCGCCCTCACAAGTGGGAGGCAGAGAACTTTAGTTTGACAAAAATTGCAGCTGTTGGACAACATAATGTACTTTTGAGGCTTTTTAGGTCGGAAGGTAAATGTATAGATTGAAACAATGCTGTTTATTTATAGGATTAGAGCCTATTTTAAATATTCATAATTTCAGAGATTCAGCACGTTGGTGGACAGCCTGCCATACTGAGCAGAGCAAAGATGGTTGATGTTTCGCCACAAGATGGCCGCTTAAGGTATGTTTCAAACTACATCTGAACAAATCATTACATAACAGGCAAGTCGCATTCTAAGTCGATCTCTCTCTCTTTGTAATTTGTAGCGCTGTATTTATACCATAGTAATTTGATAGTGTTTGCTTTGCCCTGGCTTTTCAGAGATAATTATTGTGATCTCCCGATTGCAACAGATAAATACAGTACAGGAAAATCTCTGTACACCGATGGCATTTGATGCTGTTCAGCCTTATAATCTTAAAATGTGAGCAAGATCACCTGTTTTGTCATCATTTTAGTCATTATGCTAGAAAATCATCCAAATACTAGCTCTAAAGTGACATTTGTGAAGTAGCATCGGTGTCTGCTATTCTGATGTCAGCTGCAGATGTGTATGAATGACGTACAAAAAAGTTTTGAGAGTCTCCGTGTTTGATTTTCTTATTTAATATACACGATTATGCCGTCAAACTGTATAAAGGCAACACACTCGTAACAGTACCATGTGGCTGTAAATTGCCAATAAACAGTTATATCAAAGTCCTACTTGCTACACACACATATTATGTCAAAACAAACTTTTATTCTGGATGTGATTAATCATGATTAATCTCTTCCCAGCTCTTAGCCTAATATTTTATAGTTACATCAATTTTTATGTAGTGAATTTCTGCGCAAAATACCAAATGAAGGGTAACTGCATTGCGTAAAAAAAGATCAATTTCCTTGTATATTGCAGTTACATTCAATGCAACAAAGTACTCACTACTCATAATAAAGTACTCATTAATCATTAAAAAGAGCAAATATAAGTGCAAATCAGTGTCGATTCAGATTCGTTGAAAATGTGTCACTAACTTATAACCTTGATTACTGCTAATTAATAATTGTACCACTCTGTATTTTTGTAATGTACTCACATAATCGCAGGCACTTGAGTACTTGCACTTGACTAATCATGGATCCTTACATTGCTATTTATTTTCTAAGATCAAAAAAAAAAAAAATGAAGGGTATACATAAATCTTTTAGAATAAATCTTACTGAAGTATTGTCAATAATCATCATAATTAAAAGATGTTTTGAAGAAGTATGCAACATATGTAAGCACTTATCAATACAATCTTGTGGCCTTCCTTTTTAAATTATTGACCTAATATATGAAATGGTTTAATTTCTGAAATTTGGTTTGTTGTTCATTTCTGAATATGAGCCCTAACATTCAATACTTAGCTACTTTTATTTTGAAACCCATGAAATAATCCCTATAATGCAAGAGTAGCTTGGCGTCGATTAACGCAGGCAGCAATTTTAACATCTACCTCAGTGTACATAAAAAAAAACTGAAAGTGGAAGAAAAAAAATGTGTTTGCTTTTGAAAACATTAGCATGCTAGCTTAGCTACATGGTTTAGAAACGACAACCAAAGCTCAAAGCCAAGTAAAAATGCAAATGTGATTTTAGCACACATTTGTTTTGGTTTTGTTTAGGCTAAGGGTTAGCATAGTTGCTAATGTTGTTTGGGTCGTGCTTAGGATAGGTGCTAATTTTTCTTTCTTTTCTCCAATATAATACCTTTAGCTGCCAACGTTAGCACACTGAGCATAATTTCTGGAAAATACGTTTTTACCACCACCTTCAGGACATTTGACTTTTTCTCTCAAAAACAGATTAAAATAAAAATAATAACATAAATTAAGATGCAACATTAACTGATCAATTCAAATGATTATAAAATGCTCAATTAACCACTTGTTTGTACACTGAGGGACTGTTAAAAGTATTGTCAGTTTATCACATTTTAACAGATTTTGCTAATTACTCAAGTTCTAAACCAAAAAAGATCAACATGAAATAGGATTTGCAACACATTTTTCTTCTGCAATTTGATATATTTCACAAAATCGTGAACATGTTGTGAAAATTTGTTCTCTTATTGTAGTTAAAACAAAGGACACAATTAGTTGAAGAAAATTTAAGAATAAAGTAATATGCTGTTATATTATTTACCTTTTTTAATAAATCACAAAAACTCTGTTAAAATGACTGAAATAATTGGTCATTTCTGTCTCAAATAAATAAAAGAGATGTGAAAATTGTTAATTTGTGTTCATAAAATGTGGCTACAATTTGCTAAGACAATATAATAAATTAGTTCTTGCTTTGAGATGGCAGTTTAATTAAATCAAGTAAACAAATTTATAAATATTAGACACGAGTTACTAAGACAAGAGAACAAATTATTAAAATGTGGCCACACTTTAACTTAAAATAGCAAACAAAAAACAATTGTGGCAAGAATTTACAGAATTATTATTAATCTAAAAAAAGGGGAGGTATTATTCTTGTGAACAAATTCCTTTTTTTTCGCATAATGTAAAACATAGTTATTATTATTCATAATATAATCCAAAAATCTGAATTACAAAAGTAAAATGGTTCCATTTTGATTTCATGTTGATTGTAATATCCATCTAGTAGTGAGAAAACTGAGCAAGGTGAACATATAGGTAGCAGAATATAGTGAAGCTCACACATCAATGATAAAAAAACAAGTTTTCATTACCTTTCTAAAGTAGCACTGAGAATCAATAGAAACATTTATTGACTGGACTGAGTATACACAGCATGTAAGCCCACCCGCACATGAACATGGATGGATGCGTCTGAGCTCCACTGGATCTACACTGTAACTGTACACTATTTACATGAAGAAGAAGAAGATGAAGAAGAAAAACATCAGTGGAATTAAAACAAATGTGCGGTTTGGAAACATTTCACATTTTCAAATACAAATACATTTCCTTCGCCCTTTACAGCACTTATTGTGCAAAAGGAAAACAATCTAATTCGTCCTCTTAGGCTAAGCAAACACTGTGTGATTTTTGCGCAATTTTAAACAAATCACACTTTTCTAGAAAAAAAAAAACGTGTGATGTAAAGTCAATGCTTATATTTAATGTGCTTTATGCGCTCTTCTGATTATCGAATTGAAATTTAACTACACCCCTGAACCTAAAATCTGTTTTTACTTTGCTTTTGGTGTTTAATAAAGAGTTTTTCATCTAAAAATACCCAAAAAATATTTTGCATGAATGTTGTAAAGTTTAGTGCACTCTAGCTGGTGAAAATGATAATGACATCTTTAGCTATGTTCCATCCATATATGCCATCCATCTATTTTTATGTGCATTTTGGATGCACCTAAAGACTTCAGACAAGACGAAAGATTTTAAGACATTCAGTGATTCATTTTTTTATTTATTTTTTGCTGCTGTGTGTGGGAAGTTTGTTTCTGTGATGAGTTACTTACACATCTCATTCACAGCCTTATGTTTAGATTACATTTTTTGCCTGTGTGATAACCGCAATAATTTAGTATAGTGAAATGGAACGGTAATACGCCCAACATCTGAAGAAACTACTTTGTGCGTTGATCTGAAAATAATTGTACGTTTTCAAATGTTTATTAGCCAATCAGAGTCAAGTGAGCAAAAACCTCATAGTATAAAACTGGCTAAAGCTATCAAAATACACTGGGTTTAACCCTGGGTGTGGGTTTTATAAACATCCCTTGCCCACTTCATCAGTCCATCGGTCAGTGTTGGTACTGCTAGTTTGCTTGGTGTATTCCAGGTGCCCATTTGTTGGAGCTCGTTGGCCCAATTCATGTTTATTACGCATTGGTCATTACGTCATTTTGTTGGAAGTTCCGTTTTTTGTTTTTTTTTTCTGATCAAGAAAACAGATACTGCCCTCTGCGGTGGGGAAAGACATGCCCTGTTGCACAGACACAGAACATTCGCTCTTGAATCAGTCGACTGCCTTCCGTTTGGTGTGTTTACATGCACTTTTTTTCTCCAGACATGAGCCGATGAAAGTCATCGGTGGTAGGTTTCATTGGTATTGGTAGCATAGATAAAATGCTTTGAGTACTAACAACCTAATTTCGGTTGGCATTGTAAATGGTATTTTTGTACATTTTTTATTGTACATAAGGTTTTGCATTAAACACGAAGTTGGCATGGAAATATAAAATGCAGCCAAAATGACTCATTTATATAACTGTAGTAAAAGCAAAAATTATCATGAGGGTTCTCCAAATTTGTCCACAAGCTTTTTGTTTTACAGGAAGTTATAATTAGATTGATGTACTAAGCAACTCCATGCGCTGACTTCTTCACCACTGTTTCATCATGTTATTTCAAATATTAGTACAAAAATGGCACACGCTCAAGTATAAATGGGCATTTCACGTAAATCCAGCTTTATGGGTCATATTTCAGGAAAGTGACAAATAACCTGCAGTATATGGTAGTTTAATAGCATTTAATAAAGGGTGCATTACTGTTAAGCTGCAGACCATTAACATCCTTAAAAAAAAATAAATAATAAAAAAAAAAAATAAATAAAATATATATATATTGCAATTTATCAAATCAAATGAGTGTAGTTAGTTCAAATTTACTGGAAGTTAATTCTACTCATTTCGAAGGAGCTCTGAACTCAGTGTTAAAGTATAGTATAGTAGTGTAGTCTATGAATATTGTTATCTTTTTTCAGATGGAGTGAGATCAGAAACACTGAATTAATGCTAGTCAGTTTGTAGCTTTGTTTGAAAAGGGAACAACATTTCAGACATATCAGAATTTCTTTCAACTAACTGAAAAAATTGACAAATTCAATTCTAAATAGGACAAAAATCGCACAGTGTTTAACTGGCCTTTTAAAAACAAGGAAGTAAAAATTGAGAACGAAGCAACATCAACGATCATTGAGCTGGAAATCTACTATTGCTTTGTTTAATACTGCCATATTTTCAATTGATATGACTTTAGTCTTTTAATGCTGAAAATTCACCTTAGCAAAAAAAAATAAAAGTCCAACGCAGTCTCTCATTCCGGAGGTATTAACATTGTTGAATGAGGTCGTGGAAAAATGCTATACATTCAGCCCAGAGACGCCTGATCCCGAGTCAGTGGTCCTACCTGGAGATGTGCCACACTTTTCCAAAATAAACAGCACTCAACGTTTCGGTCCAGCTCCTCAGTGAGAGTTCTAGAAAAAAAAAAAAAAAAAAAACGAAGACCGTCGCCGATTTGTCCGTTGTCAGGTTTCTTCGTTAAATAGTTCCGTTCAATAAATAAGTGTTTGTAGAAAGTGCTAGGCTACTGCTGGAGGCTGGTGTGAGCCTCAGATGGGCATAGTGGCGTTCATCATCTGGACCCGCATCTCCTGAATGCTGTTGAGGATCTTCTTCTGATGGCCTGCCAAAGTGACTCCGACCCGCCGAAGATCTCTGTAAAAGAACAAGGAAATCAGTCATTTTACAGCTGGAAGAAAACAAACATGTACAAATACATACATGCACTCTCAAAAATAAAGGTACAGGAGCTATAAAGGTAAAGGTCACTGGGGCAGTACCTTTTCAAAAGATGCATATTTATATCCTAATAGTCCACAGTGGTAACTCAATGGTGCATATTAGTGCCCAAAAGTGCCTTTGAGGTACCCTTTAGGTTCAAATACCTACCGTTGAAAAAGGTACTGCCCCATTGACAGCTCCTGTACATACATTTGTGGATACACATTTATATATTTTATAAATGTACATTTTGAACCATTATGTATTAAATGAGAAAAACATCAAATACACACAGCTCTGGGAAAAATATAAATATAAATATAATATAATATAATATAATATAATATAATATAATATAATATAATATATAATTTAATACAATAAATATATTTTATAAAAAAATAAATAAAACTAAATAAAAAAATTTAAAAGTATATAAAAAAAAATATATATATATATATATATATATATATATATAAAGACCACATCAAATTTTTTTTTCAGTTTTCCAGATTTGCTATGAAAAGGTATTTACTTTAAAAGGTATAGATTTATGTTCTAAAGTGTCTCCAAGAAAAAAAAAAAAAAAAAAAAAAATATATATATATATATATATATATATATATATATATATATATATATATATATGTATATATATATATATATATATATATATATACCATAACTACTACCTGCTGCTAAAAAACTATGAATAATGTGGTCTTTCAGCTATTTATTTACTTTCTAATTACAGTCCAGTCAGCATCACGTAAAAATTACAACAATCATGTAAAAATTACAACAGCCAGATGTACCTTGAATTCCCTGAATAAAAGAGAAAATACAGGTCATGCTTTCACAAAGTCATTTTTCCCTGACGGATGACTTACTCCAAGGTCATTTGAGTGACTACTTGTAGAGAAGTGTATCCACTTTCCATGAAAAGCTCAGTGTATCGACCCATTTTGATGGCCTCCAGCCACTCCTCCACTGATCTGAACACACAGCCCTCTGGACTGCCTTGCTCCACTAACAGATTAGACACTCTGTGGAGAGACAAAAACATTTTCTGATTTGAGATTACTTGAAGGATAATTTTTGTACCATTTGATAGGTTTATATAAATATGTAACTTAAAAAAGCCACAATTGCATGCAATTTCTGCAAACAGACTCACAGAATTGTTAAATATAATACATTAATTCATTTTCTTTTCAGTTTAGTCCCTTAACTAATATGGGGTCACCACAGTAGAATGAACCGCCAACTTATACTTCTGCGTCAAGTGACCGGTGTAACCCACGGCGCATGCAATGCGCATGGCTGTGCATTTATACTTTTGCCCGCTGTCTCTGTTGGTCTGCATTAACACTTCCGAAACGCTAGTTAGCAGTGAGGTGTAAATGTTCCTATGTGTCGAGTTTCTTTGCTGCTTTTTTGCTTTTCCTGAACACTTCCGGGATGTACAAGTGGCTCAAACTCGCTCATTTTGAGGCAGGAACCGGCAGACGTGCAACAACTATAACTATGAGGTAAACACAAAACAAAACTTTCTATCCGGAGCTCCTTCACGGGACTCCACACTTGTAAACAATCGCTACATTGGGTTCGCGCCATTCGCGCGGCTCTCGGTCCTGCCCCGACTCGTCAGCGCTACCAAGCCAACCAATCACAGAGCTTGCGCTACGCGTTGTTGCGACGTGTAGTTACATTTTTTGAGAGGTGTACGTCAGTGATGGCTACGGCCACAGCGAAGGGCTATGCGTCAGCACCGTAGCATACGCCGGTGTGTGACGCAGAAGTATAAATCAGCCTTCAGTCACACACCTACACTAAAGACAACTTAGCTTACTCAATTCACCTATAGCACATGTCTTTGGACTGTCGGGGAAACTGGAACACCCAGTGGAAACCCACGCAAACACAGGCAGAACATTCAAACTCCATACAGAAATGCCAACTGACCCAGCGGAGGCTTAAACCAGCAACCTTTATGCTATAATGCGATTGTGCTACCCACTGAGCCAACATGATGCAAATTTAATTTAATTGAAAATAAATTCAATGAAAACAATTACATTTAAATTAATTACATTTTCATGGTAAGAATAAGTTCCAGGGTTATATATAAACATAATAATTTATTGGAGAAATGACAAAAACAACTAAATTAAAAAAAAAAAAAGCAACAGCAACAAAATATTTTTACTACAAAATTATTACGTATTAATACTACACTGTAAAACATGTAATATTTTAATATGTTTTTTATATTTCTAATTTGAATTAGGCTTTTATAGATAACTAAAATAAAAGCATAATTACTACACTCATTTTGATAGTTAAAATAAACATATTATATATAGTTTATTAACGCATGCAAAATTAGTTTGAAATATTTAACGCGTAAAAAAAATAAATGCAATTAAAGCAGTCACAGTTTTTTTCCTGTTGTGGTCAACGTGTGTTCAACGTGCAAAGAAATCGAAGACAAGTTTCAGTATAAAACAATTAATGTCGCATTACCAGGCTCTCCAGCGTTTCCTCCAGAGTTTCATCTAATTTCGTAAGTTTCATTTAGTAACTTTTGACCTTTGTTTTATTGGAATTTGATACAGCATGGTGATTTGAAAGGAAAACCTCTCCATTTCGTGACTCGGTGGTACCTTTAAGGTAATCAAAAATCGCTGTTTACATGGTAGACTCTTAACAGGAGTATAATCTGCCAAAGTGCCATATGATGTTGCAAGCTGTCAAAGACAGCACATTTCTTTGCCTTTCAGCATGCGCCCTCAAATGTTTCATTAGGTTTGACGTGTTTCCCCCTTAAACACAATTTTTGTAAAGCGTCTACTTCGCATTGATGTGTCAGAATCCTTATGAAATACAGCCGTACTTTAGAACGCTTAGTTTAAGCAAATTTGATGAATGCATGTTGAATCTGAAGGGAGTCGCTCCGGCTGCACTGTCCTGTGCACGCTGTGTGTGTGTGTCTGTGTACGCGCGTGCATTTCCTAGCAACAAGAACAAATGCCTAAACATCGTTATCAATATCCCTCAAAGTTGTTTAAATGTTTAGAGATGGTATGACCAAAGTCCCTGTAAGAATTAGACTTTGGTGTGACACAACGCGTATCTGTGGGGGCCTTTTTAAAAACTAAACACAACAAATTACTCTAAGTAAAATTTACTAAGTTCAGAAAGTATTTGGTTCCTCTTTAAATAAAAGCAAACAGGGGTACGTTACAAAAGCTAACACATATTCTAATATCATATATAAATAAATAAATAATGAGGCTATTTATTAAAAAATGACATTAAATATTTATTATTTATTAGAAAATAAATTGTGTGTGTGTGGTGGGGTGGGGGTCTAACTGGGAATAGAACACAGCCAGGAACTATTTTTCTAACTACAGTGGCAGAGGTTGCAATCATACAATTTTGTGACGAAGTTTGCAAATGTTTGTTGGAACGACGGATTTGGAAATGCCAAATCAACAAACTATGTTTGAAATTAATGATGATTTTCGGAATTGCATTGGAGTAACATTAGCAGCAGACCGTTCACATATTGCGTCTTTTCTGCAAGCAAGTTAAATTATTTCGAATGGAGATGTGCAATGTAATCAAAAGGATTTGTTAGGATTTACGTTAGATGAATATTTACAAATTATTAAAATGAGTATGTGTGTATGAACGCAGATGATAACAACTGTGTGTGTCTTAAGAAGCAAAAATACAGCAAACGGGCTCTTATATTGCTGTTGTTTCATCACTTATATTGCAAGTCATATCTCTCTGGCCCCTCATTTGGGATGCTTTTCATGAACTGGCTGCCATAACAAACTTATTGAATAGCCCTGATATATACATTTAACACTATTTTTATTTCATTCCATAGCATGCTAAAATAACTGTGCTATAACACATAGTGAAGTCTAAAAGTCTGAAACAGACTTTTTCTAGAAATATGTTATGCTTATATAATAAAATTTTGACCATGGTGGCCCAGACTTTTCAACTCAATTTAATTTCAAACAAAACACTTGAAACATCAACAATACATATTTCCATGTAACTCATCTTTTAATTCTGCTTTCATACCATGCTAAATTAAATCTTATCATGACTATAAACATTGCTGTGGCCCTAATGAGTGGCCACACTTGCTAATATTATCATCCAAGGCAAATAAAGAAAATTACAACGCAATAACACTCTCGGCTCCAGAAACATTCCCAGACTGCAAATCAATTCCATATTAAACCTGAACATAATCGCATAACACAATTACTGATAATGGATGAATCCCACATGTAAGAACGCCGAACGCTTCAGATGCAGGAAATGTATCGGATATGTATAATCACAGTAATTGGAAGTCATTTGCACACTGTCGCTTCTGTTTAACTCGTCAGTAAATCACGGAATGTGACTGCGCATTTGTCACAAGTGTCATTAAAGCCTTGATTTTCTGTGACAGCCATGTACCAGGATGGTTAACCCACGGTTATCAATATTTCACAGACCTGACATCATGATCTCACCGTCTACATTAATCATCTGCTGTAAACAACAACATCATTAGCATATACTCAGAACAATAAAGGAGCATGCAATCCAGCCCAGGCTTTGGAATAAATGTGTCTATGGCAATATGACCATGTTTTGCAAAGTGAAATGCCCTGTAAATGCTTAGTACAATTATATTCAATTGCAATCGCCTTTGAGAATTATTACTGTAATAGCCTTGATGAAGATAAGGCATTTAAAGTCTTGATACATGTTTTTGATTTTGTCTTTGCTATTCTCAAAAATGTCAGCTCATATATTAAACCAACAAATTTCCAGTTTATAAGATGTGTGGATCACTTTCCTAGAATAAAATCCAAAAGAGCAATTACACATATTGTGTCCCTACCACAAGTAAGGCCATGTTTACACTGCCAGGGCTTGATGCCCAATTTTGATTTGGTGCCTATATCTGATTTTGTTGCCTGTCCGTTTACACGTTCTTTTAATTGTGTCCAATATCTGATTCATGTGTTTAAACTTGCAATACAATTTACGTCATTGTTCATGTGTAATGGCGAGTTCTAGCATTTGTGCCACACTAGCCATGATGGAAGACATTGTCTAGCTTTAAGCTCCGCAGAATATGCAAAATTCTCCCAAATTTCAAACTTTGAGGCGGAGGCAGAGGCAAAGGACCGTCATCGCAGCTTGCACCCATTGTTTATATATGGTGTCCTCCACCATTCAGAGGAATTTGTGAATATGAGAGAGATCTCCGCTCTGGTGGGAGCAAATTGTGGCGGGCTTTATTGAGGAGCAGTGGGTCTGAAATTTTAGGATTAGCACACACACGCTCTTCCTTCTACATCATTAAACCATGGAGAAGTATCACATTGTCACAAGTTTAATGACGTACAAAACGGAATGCCTCAATAAATCCAATCTGCCTGTTTACATGATAGTTGCATTGTCACATACACAATTTACATCTGATTTATTTCCACATATGAAAGAGGCCTGAAGCCGATCTCTGAACTTACGAATGCATGCGTTTTTTTTCATGTTTATATATATTATTTGTAATACAATTTTACCCTTTAATACAAGCAGTCAGATATAATGTGCCATTAATTTTACCTGCTCAAAGAAAACACTCTTTTTGAATGTATTGAACAAAACTAAAGTGCATGCACAGAGCAACATGAGCATTTTTAGCAAATAAATAAATGTAAATATTATCCCGCTTGCTTTTTGAGCGTTGTTGATGCTGTTTGATTTTGTTTTGAGCATTCTTAAATGCCTATGATTAAACACACGCTCAACAGAAAATGCTGCAACTGGCTCTAATGGTCAACATGACTCTGGCGTAGTTCAGCAGACACAGTAACACAGACACTGATGTTAAACGGTTGCAGCAATCAGCTAATCCATTATAGACAGCGATGGATGGTGGAGAAAACTCACTCTGCAGACACGCTCATGTCTAGATCCACAAGTAACGGTATTGTTGTAACAGTCAAGAGAGAGAAAGAGAGAGTTTACGGCTTTTTTTTTCTAGCTGGGTTCTGATGAACTTCCCTGTCAGTGAAAGACTGTCCAGCAAACTCACAAGCAGCGAATTGTTAGCTACTTTTTAATTACACATGGTTTCCTCCCTCGGCATAGTAAGCTACCGCCATTTAACTAATATGTGATAAATGATGTCAGTACATAATAACCGATTATGACCTAACCAATACCGAATTGTTGACGTCTGCATCGCGATGCATTGAAGAAACAATTAATTTGACACCCCTACTGCGGGTTATTAGGACATGGTGTAATCTAGCAGGAGTAGAAACTTTATGCATGGCCATCATTGATGTTGGAAAATTTACATTTTTAGTTTGCTGCAGACAAGCTACTTTTTGTTTACTATACAAGCATTTCTAATTAATTTACAGTGGTCACTTGAATAAAAGTTTTATGAAACAAATATTTTGTGTGTTAAATTTGTAGCTACTATTCTCTCAAAATCATTCTGCAAAAAAAAAAAAAAGTGAGAAAAAAACAATAATAATATTATTAATTAATTATTAATCTGCAGATTCTGTCTGGATTGGGGAAAATGATAAGGCATTGTGCACTTTCATAAATGCTATTCATATCGCAATAGAGTCTACACACAAACTTTATCCAGCATTTGTAATATTCAAATTATAATTAAAATTTCAACGTAAATAGAGAAGCGTAAAGCCAGTTGGACAAGTCTTTACATTGTTTATATACTTTGTTTAGCAACATGGACACCTCTAAATGGCATTAAAGGCGTCTCATTTTGTTTTTATAAGGTATAATTCATTTAAACTAGTAATTTTTGTCTTAAAGGGCACCTGTGGTGAACACTCAACTTTTCAAGCTGTTTGGACAGACATATGTGTAGATATAGTGTATAGACCATCATATTGGGGTAATATAAACAGTCTCAGGTCTTTTTTTTTTTTTTTTTTTTAATTTAACAACATAAAAACAGTAGACCAATTGGAGCGATTTTCATTACCACTACTTGATGTAGGAGTGCGGTCCCCCGCCTAACGAATTGATTGACAGCTGCGCGTATTAACATGTGTCGGTAGTCACGTTTATAATCTTATTAGTGTGTGTGTGTGTGTGTCTGCATGTGTGTGTGTGTCTGCGCTGTGTATCTGTGTGTGTGCGCGTGTAAACTTTGTAATGACATTGTGTGTGACTAATCGATGCAACGGCACATAAGCGCACTCAACAGTAAAAATGGAACTGAACGCACACATCATTTAAAACGATCAAATCGCATTGTATAGTTATGATTACGACAAGCGCTTGCTATGTTTTTTTTTTTTATAGCAAACACAAAGTATGAAAATAACTGTTTACTGCGTCAATATAACCACTCCAGCCTGTATAATGTTTAATATAATGCAAGAGGGAATCTGATAATTCATTCATTCATTTTCTTTTTGGCTTAGTCCCTTTATTAATCAGGGGTTACTACAGCGGAATGAACCATCAACTTATCCAGCATATGTTTTATACAGCGGATACCCTACCATCTAAAACCCAACACCGAAAAACACTCATAAACTCTTACATTTACAATAATACACTACAGCCAATTTAGTTTATTCAATTCACTTATAGTGCATGTCTTTGGACTGTGGGAGAACGGGGAGAACATGCTAACTCCACACAGATATGCCAACTGACCCAACCAGGACCGAACCAGCAACCTTATTGCTGAGCAATGGTGCTACACACTGTGCCATCGTGCTGCCCAAATCTGATAATTGCCCTTTTCACACATACAGTCCTTTCCAGAAAATTACCGGCAATTTCCCAGAATGTGTATGTGTGAACAGGCCCTTTTTGAAAATACTGGTAAATTCGTTCTGGCTATTTTCCGAAAAGAGAAGTTGTAACATAACCGGTAATTTGCCGGAATGCTGCGCTGTGTGAAAGCAGAAGGAAGATTGCCGGAAAGAGCGCGTGCATGTCTAGAACGTGCTGACGTGAGACTTTAGCCAATCAGAACAGACAGACGCATTCACGTCCGCGCGGTTTATGAGAATAAAAGCCTTTGAATATTTTTCCAGACACATTTAGCTGCTAGATGTTGGTCAGACAACGTTTCTATGTTCATCTTAATGCTGTGTAAATAATTATCACTAAAATGTTAATGATAATGCGTTGTTTGTTTACCTTCAAGCTTTGCGTGTGCTCGTGAAACAGCCCGTGAGCGCCCAAAGTGCCAGCACACACACATATCATGTACATCTCGACATGCGAAAGTGTTTCTATATATGTTTTCATTGAAGTTGTTCACAATACTGATCCATCCTAAGAGTTTGTAATGTAGTTAAATGTTTACAAATACAAGCCCAGCCGTTTAGAGGTAATTTCTGGTTAATGATGTCAGAATTTACGGGCATTTTGGAATGGATGTGTGAATGCTCTTTTCTGGAAAAATTCCATAACGTCCTCGTCTGTGTGAACAGCACTTTTTTGAATTTACCGGTAAAGTCGTTGCAGAAATTTTCCAGATATTTACCGGTATCAGTGTGTGAAAGGGGCTAGCTTCTTTTACCAGTGGAAAAAGGGTCTAATAATGTTGTCAATGACAAATGACAAGCATATGTCTTAAAACAAAATAATAAAATTTTAGAATTCGGAATGGCTGTGATGTCATCACTTTACAGTGAATTAACAAACAAGTCATATTTAAAGTATGTTCCACTAAAGTCAAAGTCTACTATTCAAAGTCTCTACAAAATTTAGCGTTTTAACCAACAGTACACTTAGGTCTAATATTATTATTGTTGTTTTACCATATGTTTGAGAAATAACAACAATAAAAGCCTACTCATATTAATCTTTATTTAACATCTACAGAATCATGAGAAAATCTTGGTGATCTTGGTTTTAAGCAAAAATGAATAAATGAATGAATAAATAAATAAATAAATAAATAAAGATGATTCTCATTTTAACCAGAATCGTGCAGCCCTACAAAGGTCTTGGGGGTTTGAAAAGACATGGATGTCAGTAACTAATAACATTATTTTAATTTTTGGCTGAACTAACCCTTTTACCTTTTTACTCCCTTGACTGATCTTTTCAGCTATTTTAGCAAGTATAAGTAAAGTTTTGGAACATAAATGCCAGGATAGGCATGTTTCTTCGAGTCTGGGTAAGAATATCAAAAGAAGATAGTTACACAAATAAATAAATAAAAATCCTGACAATAACAGCTGGTCTATTACCTGTTAGATGGGTTAACGAGACCCTTCAGGCTGCTTGGATTGCGGATGAGCTTGTCCAATAAGCTGACAATCTCCTCAAATTTGGGCCGGCTGTTCCTGTCTTTCTGCCAGCAGTCCATCATGAGGTGATAGAGGGCGGTCGGACAGTCCATGGGCCCCGGCAGTCTGTAGTTCTCCTCCACTGCCTTTATCACCTGAGACAACAGAAAAGATTGCAAGCACTTTACATCATGTTCCACAATAAATATATGATGTGCGGTACGTGTCCAAACACTGACTCCTCTGCTTCAGGAGTAGCTGCTGGATACCAAAGTCCTCACATTGACCTTTCTACTGCTCTCACTCTCAATTAACCAGCAACCCAAAATTGACATATTTGGATGTTATCAACAAAAACTACAGAATACAAATGCTACACGCATAAAGTACACATGGGACTTGGCACTGTTGCATGTTAATTTCTCGTAGAGTATGTTGGTCATAATTTAGAACAAGCTAGCAGCATCCTAACTAATGCTAACTTTATGCTAGCAACTTACCAATGTATGTCTGGGACATGCTAGTTATTTAACTGGTAGCAACATGGCGAAAAATGTCAGCAGTGTTTAAATACTAGTTACCAGTAGCAACGGTTTACCAGTGCTGGATTGGGGTTGGAAGGGCAACTGCTGTGTAAAACAGATGCTGGATAAGTTGGCGTCAGTCTACTTAAAAATACTCTGATTAATAATGGGACTTAGCCAAAAAGAAAATGAAAGAATGAATAACAGCAACAATGCAATTTACATTAGCAATAATGTATACCTTTACCTAAGTGTATACCTTTTTAGCTACAAGTTAATTATTACTAATTATTGCAATTACTGATATTGTTAATTTATCCTAGTGACACGTAAAACATTAGAAAAGTTGTAGTTGTAAAGCAAAATGACAATATATGTTAGCTTGCATGCTAAAATATGTTTGTCATGATAATTCCTAAGCAAAATGCAAGCCATTATCATACTAAGTCATGGTATGTGGTAAACATGCCAGTAACATATAACAAAATAATAAAAGCATTTTCATAGTAGGCTAATGGTAAATTTTGCTTGGCACATAACAGCAACATGCTAATTCGAGATAACAAAATAAAAAACCAAGTGATAAACATGCTAGCAACTAATCCTTTTAGTCATGCTGCAACATGGTAATGTGCTAAATAATGTTAGAACCAGCCCAATATTATGCAAATTTGTCATAAAAAGGCTAAAGAGATGTGCAAATTCATGTCATAACATGCTAAACATATTAGCCATCTATTTAAACAGGCCTGAAACATAGCATCTTGATATGTTTCCAGTGTGCTAAACATAATAGAAACATTCTAACATTATGCTAGTTCATTTAACTGATATTTAATATGTTAGCAACATGCTAAAGCATGCGAGCCATAGATGGATACAATAGATGCCACATACCCTTAGCTTGTGTCAAAAGTGCCACCATATTTGTACAGTGCTCCCAGGACAAATGTCATTTAACTGCACTAGTCAAGACTAAAACTAATGTGAAAATGCTGGACTTTAGTGCTGTGTACGGGTGTAGCACTGTGTACGGGTGTAACAAGCAAACTTATATAATTATTTATTCACAAATTAATCGCTTTCTTTATTAAAATGAGAAGTGAACAGGGGAAAGTGGGTGTGTTTCAGGACACAAATTAGATACAGAGTAGAAAAGTGGTGTAAAATTATAATCGTAATTTAAAAAAAAAAATAATTGTATACTGACCACCAGGAACACAACCGATCAATATATGTATACATCTCTGGCTCTGGATGGCCAGTTCTCCAATGCATCTTGGTTCTACATGCTTTTCATGAAGTGCTACCCTGTACTAACATGATGGCTCCATTGACGCATTCTTTCCAATAGACACCAATAGCGTAGGTGACATTCAATGTAAATATCTATGCATGAAAACCATAAAACATGTTAGGCACATGATACTGACTTCATTCTAACTTATAATTGCATCTTGATTTTAAACTTTCAGATTAATTTGCCATTGAGCAATTTTACTTCAGTAGATAATGAGATTTGATATGTTTGTAATGTCATTATATAGTGAAGTTTATGCATATTATAAAACTAAGTTGAATTAATTAGTTCACATACAACATACTAAACATAAATAAAGAAATAAAAAACAAACAAAAAAAAAATAAATACAAAACTAATTGCAAAAATATTTTTGCTTTTTCTGGGCTATATTTCTTAGGCATAAATTCTGAAATATGTAAATTATATTACACATTTTACTATTTACATTTAAATATTACTATAAAATCCAGTGTTTATTATACTTATGCATAACATTTTAGCAGAGTATCAGCTGACAAATTATATAATTAATATAAATGTATAATTAATGCAAATTAAACTATATTATTAATGTAAATTAACCATAGGATGTTCAGTTCATAGGGCAATTTTTGACAAGTCTATTGTATCACTTTAACATCTTTTATCATTCAAAAGTTACCAAAACAAACCAGAAGCCTGAATCATTAAAGAGTATCTCTACTCTCCCCAAACTAAAACCCTCAACAAGAGCAACACTACAACAAGCAGAGCAATCCCTCATGGAGAGAAGAAAACACAAGCAAAACAGAGACTGACAGACAGACAGAGGAAGCCGAGATCTGAGAGAAACCCTCCAGAAACTTTTCAATAAAACATCAAAAACGCACTCCATTCCCAAGCGTGAGTGAAACAGATTAATGATGGAGCGCAGATGAAGCCGTCACTGCAACTGTAAAGCTGGAAAAAAGGTCAGCGGTGCTTGATAAAACCATGACTGCTGTGTGCACCTCCTTCTGGGAGACGCTGGAGAAACTAAAGCCTGTTTCATCTCTGCTGCAAATATACTTGTCATTTCATACGCATCTGACATATGATGACATGAGCATCTACATTACAAAAGACAGAGAGGCGGCGGATCGACATGTACTGTGTGCTTTTCAATAGAGGAAACAAACATGACTGAATCGCTGTGAGTTATTATGCACTAATGATGCACAAGATTAGAGAGATAGACATGGTTTGTTGTGATTTTATAATCTTAACAACTGAGGATAAGTGTCTTTAATGGTTATATTTCTCATGACTGTAGTTGATTTGTTGAGATAGACAAATTTAGTACTTTTTTTTCTTTTTTTATGTTGTTAGATAACATAATTATTTGTAATGAATACAAATTTTTGTGTCTATGTATACAGTTAAAGCCAGAATTGTTAGCTCCCATTTGAATTTAGTTTTTCTTTTCAAAATATTTCCCAATTAATGTTTTACAGAGTAAGGCAATTTCCACAGTATAATATATATATATATATATTTTTTTTTCTGGAAAATGTCTTATTTGTTTTATTTTGACTAGAATATAAGAAGTAAATTTTTTTTTAAATGAATTATTTTAAGGCCGAAATTATTAGCCCTTTTAAGCTATATATATATATATATATATATATATATATATATATATATATATATATATAATAAAATATTAATAAATTAATTAATATTAATAAATAAATTAATAAATAGGGTAATTAGGCAAGTTATTGTATAACGATAGTTTGTTATGTGGATTATCAATTTATATATATATATATATATATATATATATAGAGCCTAAAGGGGCTAATAATTTTGACCTTAAATTTTATTTTATTTTATTTTATTATTTATTTATTTATTTAACTAAGAACTTTTCTTATTCTAGACTTTTCCCAGAAGAAAAAATATATATAATCAGACATAATGTGAATAATTCCTTGCTCTGTTAAACATTGAGAAGTTGGGAAATATATATAAAAAAATTAAAAATATATATAATAAAAACATCTACATAAATAAAAGGGGGGTTAAAAGGTTCTGTATAAATATATAAGACATGGATTATTTTTTTAAAAATCTAGATTACTAAAGATTAATTTCGGATTTATTCTAGATTAATTTAAATTAAATTGGCTTTTTAGAATTCTGCCAAAGGCAATCAGAATATGTGTGCTACCCAATTATTATGTCTTAGAGAATGGGTTTCTAAAGCCAGGTAGCTTATTAGACCAGGGGCTCATCTTCAAAATGCATTGCAAACTGATTGAGAAACTGTTCTACTATGATAATTAGTGATGAAAATAAATGATGTTCAATAAGATGTACTTGTGTTTACTAACTGTTTATTCAGTTAAACATAAGTTTTGAATTGTATGCCTACATAAGCTCGAAACAGCGATTTTTGATTACCTTAACTCAACTAAAGTCATAACTGAACTAAACAGAAATGGAATTAAGACATGTGGAGTATATATATATATATATATTAGTGGCATTATTAAAGTAAACACCGCAATCAAACTATTACCGTTATGTAGGACTTTTCGACATATTTTCTGACAAGATCCACACAGGTGGCTGTCAGTAAAGGACCACACACACACACACACACACACGGCGAAATGTGGGATTTTTTTCCTTTCCATTTGGGGTGCGTTACTAAATTCCATAATTCTTTCATGAGTCCTTACTCCTTATTTGCGTGTAATACCCCAGTTTGTCAAGAGTTTGAATGAAATGTTCATGAGTTAAAGTGAAACTGCCTTTCAGCAGTTAAAGTCAAGCATCCCTGGAGATTTGACTCAGAGGGACACTTTTTTGTCAGACGGCTTACCTGTCAGGTATACATCCGCGTTAAAATATCAACGTGAAAGTCATCATAATTTGCATAGAATAGACCCAGCTTCCAACCCAACTTTGAATATAGATTAATGGTGATATATATATATATATATATTTATATATATATGTTTTTTTTTTAGATTAACGCTAAGAGTCTCGTGTTAACGCAGCACGTTAACGCCGGTAACGGCCCTCCACTTATCTATCTATCTATCTATCTATCTATCTATCTATCTATCTATCTATCTATCTATCTATCTATCTATCTATCTATCTATCTATCTATCTATCTATATATAGTTTTTTTTTTGTTTTTTGTTTTTAATTGGCTATAATGCTACAATGCACAACACTGTAATCCATTATTATCTTACCTAGTTAATATAATTAGCCAATTTAAACCTATAAATTGCACTTTAAGCTTGATACAAGTATAAAAAAAAATTATGTACTGTCATAAAAAAATGCAAGTACCAGTAACTACTATCGAAAATAACAACGTTTATGTGCTGGCAGAGACAAAATAATTTTGTAATTAGAAATAGAAAATTGGTTATCCAAATTATAGAAATATAATTTGGATTACATTTAATTATTTATATATGAATGTTTTCTTAAATAAATACACTGTTTGACATCAAACTATTAATAAATCATCACACCAGACACTTATAAATTGTTCAGATTTCATTTTTTTTTTTTTTTTTTTGGAAGTATCAATGTCTTTTCAAAAAGCAGTGAGATCATATTTACATTTGGACAATGACAATGAAACTACAGATGATGTAAGCTTTTGGTAAAAGCTACATTTAAAGAAACTCAATGCTGGAAGTCCATTACTGCAATGGATTTCTGTCTGCACATCAAATGCATTTCACACAGAAAAGACAAGAATAAAATCACTGCAGCTGAAACCTAAAGCTAAGATTTTAAGCCCAAACCCAGTGTACCCACGTGTAAATAAGAAGGAGACCTGTGACCCTGATTGTCCTCCAATACCAGCCCAAAATCTGCCAGTTTAGCCCCGCATCCAACTCTATTTATAGACATCAGCTTTCTATCGCTCTCATATCCCCCTCCAGAAAACAGCAGAACTCATGTGAGAAAACTGTTACTGTGGTGAAGTGTTAAAGACCGCAGGCTAAAATCACACCAGAAAGCACAAACAATCTCTTCATAAATGTAGACTATTTCATCAGTGTATCACAGACTGAAGTAAAAAGCAATAAAACAAATAAATAAAAGGTGCATAAAATCTATTTAATTTAAACATTTTAGATAATTTGAGCATAGTTGAAGTCAGAATATTAGCCCCCTATTTATTTTCCCCGATTCCTGTTTAACTGAAAGCAGATTTTTTTTTCAACACAGTTCTAAACATAATAGTTTTAATAACTCCTTTCTAATAAATGATTTGTTTTATCTTTGTTATGATGACAGTAAATACTATTTTACAAGATTTTTTTCAAGACACTTCTATACAGCTGTCACCGACTCGGTCACAGTCATTCCCCTCGCTGGCCAGCAGAGATCACCATCCCCGGACTATTAACCATTACGTCATCCACTTACACTGACAGCCTGCACACCTGAAGCCAGGCCCGGATTGGGTAATCGGGAGGATTGGGAGAATTCCTGGTGCGCCGGTCCATTTTTTGGCCGCGAGGGCCGGTGTCCCTAGCTCCAGAATCTGTTGCTCTCAGCAGTCACACTTTTTAAATTAATTTATTTATTTACTTGACCACAGTCTCCTTATTCATCATTTTACCGCAGCTCTGCTCGTTTTATATATAACCAGCCTGCAGGTTAATGATTATACTACTCAGATGTTATTCAACTGTGGTGGACCAGTGGTTAGCACGTTAGATTACGACGCCTCCGACCCGGGTTTGATCCTCGTCTGAGTATATATATATATATATATATTTTTTTTTTTTTTTTCATTTTTATTGTTAAGACATATAAAACTGTTAGGGTTGTTGAACATTTAAAGTTCTAAAGCAGCTGTTTTCTCAAAAAAATAAAAAATAAAAAAAGACGTGGTACTGTAATTAGAAACTGAATTGGAAATGACCTTTTTTTAATATAGTCTGTCGTGAACTGAGGTGGGCCGGTCTGAGGCTTGAAACTCCAGGGCTGAAAAAGAGTCCCACTCCGGCCCTGCCTGAAGCGCATCCACTTGATCACCCACGCTCACGCTTATGAGCAGCACACGAACACTCACTCATTGCGAAGTTTCTCTACACTGCCTGCTTTCCCGATGCTTACCTTGCCTTGTTCCTCGTCCTGCCAGCCGCCTGCCTTGTACCTCTGCCTGATTACCAACTTTGATCCAAGCCGCCTGCCTTGAACTCTAGCCTAAACACCGACCTTGATATTCGCCGCCCGCCTCAGACCCATGCCTGAACATTCATACTTTGGTTACCTGCCGCCAACCATTTAACGTAACACTATTGTGTTTGATGTGAGTTCGCACACGCATTACATCTGTGTGGTTGTCTTTATTAAACTGTGTTTAATAAATATACTGCAAATGGATCCCTCTGTGTCAGCCCCTTCGTTACAACAGCCTAACGTGACATTTTAAGGCTTAACTAGGATAATTAGGATAACTAGGGTAATTAACCATTTAAAATAGCCATATAGACTTTTAGGGTACAAATGTTTACCTTATGAAATAGCACAGACCCAGTAACAACTTTTGTACATCTATTTCTGAAAATGTATTGATTGAGAATTGAAATGCATTATTTGGCAGAAAGCATGTATAATTGGCAGATTTATTTATATTATTTAATAAAAAAAGGAAAAAAAAGTAAACCTGTTATTCATGAACAGCTAAAACATTTCTCAAGCAATTAAAAAAATAATATCATTAATTCATTCATACATTCATTTATTCATTCATGTATACATTCATTAATTTTCCTTCAGCTTAGTCCCTTTATTCATCAGGAGCTGCCACAGCAAAATAAACCACCACCTTATCCAGCATATGTTTTGTGCAGCGGATGCCCTTCCAGCTGCAACCCAGTGCTAGGAAACATCCATACACACATTCACACACACTCATAAGCTACACTCATATTTAGTTTATTCAATTAATGTTTGGTGCATGTGTTTAGACTGTGGGGGAAACCGGAACCCCCGGAGGAGACCAACATGGGGAGAACATGCAAACTCCACACAGAAATGCCTTGACACGAATCAGTGACCTTCACTCTGTGAGGCGACAGTGCTAACCACTGAGCCACCTTGCCAACCTCATTCATTCATATCATATATTCATTTATTTATACTACAAAGTCTTCATGTAGCACCAGTAAGAGCCCGTTTTGACAGACAGTGACAGCAGACTCACATCTTGATTGCTCATCTCCCAGTAGGGCCTTTCTCCATACGACATCACTTCCCACATGACGATGCCGTAGCTCCACACGTCACTGGCGGAGGTGAACTTCCTGTAGGCGATGGCCTCTGGAGCCGTCCATCTGATGGGAATCTTCCCTCCCTGCAGGACAAACCAAGACAAGATCACAAACTCAGCCTGTCAGAGCGTCTTAACACGTGATTATCACTAAGGAGAAACGCTGTCAGCCAGGGAGAAAGTGACAGGAAGCATTAGCTCTGTGGACGACGGCTGCATGCTAATCGCTAATTGACTGTCGTGGTGTTAGCTCTTGCACTCAGAGAGAGAGAGAGAGAGAGAGAGAGAGAGAGAGAGAGTAAAAGAGAGAGAGAGTAAGAGAGAGAGAGAGAGAGAGAATTTGAATTTAAAAGTGCCTTTTATTACAATAAGTCAACAATCATCATTTCAACATGTCAACAACTCACAAGGGATGCAGTAAAAAAATGTAAATACATTAATTATAAAAAGTAAAAACTAATTCTTCATCAACAATTGAACACAATGCCCCATTTCCACACCACCTCATCTCAAAAGCTAATATATCTTTTGTAGATTTATAAAAACAATAATCAATCAGAACCCGTGATTTCACCAAGTTTACAAACATTACCACCACATCTTCACCGGACAATCTTTCAACCTTATTTTTTCTGCTCATATAGATAGCTAATTTAGCTTGCCCCAAAACAAAATTTAGGAGTTGACATTTAAACCTCTTTCTTTTAACATATCTAAAACCAAAAATAAAAACTCTTTTAGAGAACATTTCATTGCAGGAATTAAAAACATTTTCCAAAAGTAAAAATAATGGTTTCAGTCTATCACATTCCATGAAAGCGTGAAAAATTGATTCTCTTTTTGAGCAAAAAGGACAATTAGCAATGGCATCATGATTAAGAATTGAAATAAAAGCATTGAATGCAATAGCACAATGTAGAAGTCTCCATTGTATATCTCCTGACCTTTTAGACAACGGTGGCTTATACAGTGACCTCCATTCAGGTTTAACATGCTCTTCTACACCCAACACTTCACGCCAAGGTGTGTCAATTTTATTGTTTAGTTCTTTTTTATTAAAAACTTTGACACAAACTTTATAAAAATCTTTGCCAGTAACCATAGATAAACCCAAGCACAATGTTTTTTTAGAGTCCAGAAAGTGTCCATTAAAATCCTCTAACTTGGGGAGCAATGTGAAAACCGGAAAAAAATCCTTCGATTCGGAATCATTCACTTTTCCACAACTGTCTATTAGCAGAGTTTTTTCTTCATCATTGATCAGTCCTCTCCAGTTCTGTAACATATGTTCAACAGTCCGTAAGGATCTAATTTTTAAAACATCAGCCACTTCTTGCGTTTTTCTGAAATCCACTCCAGCGATATGCAACAAACGTCCAAGCGTATAAATCTTTGAATTCTGCAACACTTCATTAAGTCCATGAAATGAAGAACTGTCCTTTGTAAGATCAAAACGAGCACCATTTATTAGAGGCTCCTCCAACAACCAGTGGAGAGTACATGTACTACTTCTTTGCAAATTAAACAAACTCCACACCTTAAAAAGATTCCTGTAAAATATTGGCAGTCTATTCACATTCAACTTGAGGGGGTCCATTAAAAACAAGGCTTTATCTAAATCCAGCCCTGCAACACTGTGTAAAATTGAGGAAGTTACTGCTCGCCATCCATACACTGAAGACCCATACAGAAATTTTTGTAAAAATTGTAATCGAAAAGCTGCTATTCTGCTTCTCAGCTGTATCAGACCCTGACCACCCTCTTCTTTGGTTAAATACAACACACTCTGTGGGACCCAATGCAAGTTATCCCAAAAAAAATTGACCAAAAGACTTTGGAGTTCTGTTAATAATTGTAAAGGAGGATCTAAACAAGCCATCCTATGCCAAAGACTGGAAGCTGCTAAATTATTCACTATTAAAACCCTTCCTTTGTACGACATTTTTGGTATTAACCATTTCCATTTATTAAGTCTACCCTTTATATTATCCACAACTCCTTCCCAGTTTTTCTGAGTAAAACTTTCATCCCCCAAAAACACTCCTAAATATTTAAAACCACTTGTTCCCCAACTCAAGCCATCAGGAAGGTTTGGCCTATCTTTTAACCAATTTCCAATTAAAATTGCTTCACTTTTATTCCAGTTTATTTTTGCTGATGATAAACTTTTAAAATCATCTAAGACTTCCATTAAAACTCGCACATCATTTTGTTTATCAATAAAAACCACTACATCATCAGCGTAGGCAGACAGTGTGACATTATTTTTACATCCAGGCAAGTTCAACCCAAAAACTTTTTCTCTTAGTTGTTGTAACAAGGGTTCAATGGCAAGTGAATACAACATTCCAGATAATGAGCAACCTTGTCTTATTCCCCTACATACCTTAAAAGGAGTGCATAAGCCACCGTTTATTTTCAGCACACTTTCAACATCACCATAAAGTACTTTCACTTTATCAATAAAATCCTGGCAAATACCAAAAGCTTCTAATGTTCTCCACAAAAAAGGGTGCTCAACCCGATCAAAAGCTTTTTCTTGATCTAACGATATAAGACCAATTTTTATATTAAACAACTTGGAGACATCAAAAATATCCCGCATAAGGGTAATGTTATCAAAAATTGACCTCCCGGGGACACAATAAGTTTGGTCTGGATGCACCACTAAATCTATTACTTTCGTTAACCTGTTAGCCAACACTTTTGATAACAATTTATAGTCAGCACATAAAAGTGAGACAGGGCGCCAATTTTTAATTTCTAAAAGGTCTCCTTTTTTGGGAATGAGTGTGATGACCGCTCTACGACTACTCAATGGAAGCCTTCCTGATGCTAGACCGTCATTAAGTACCTGCAAAAGATCATCACCCACCTCAGTCCAAAAAAATTTATAAAAATCAACTGGAAGACCGTCAATTCCTGGTACTTTGCCAGATTCCATATTTTGTAATGCTTTATACAACTCTTCCATTCTTAAAACACCAGATATCTCAGCATTTGCCTCCTCAGTCATCTGATTTAAACCTCTAAAAAAGGCACTCTCTGAGTCCCACTCTGCACCCAATTCATTCTTATACAAATTTTCATAAAAACTGTTTGCTCTTTTACGTATTTCTTCAGGTCTAATTAAAATTTCCCCCATCTCAGATCGTAATGCATGAATAGAACGTTTTTGTCCATTTTTCTTTTCAAGATTGAAAAAATATTTAGATGGTGCATCCATCTGTTCAATACTTAAAAAACGTGAACGAATTAAAGCCCCTTGTGTTTTCAACCCCAGTAGGTCTGCCAACTGAGTTTTTCTATTTGAAATTGTTTCTATACAATTAGGATTGTTTGTTGAATCAGCTAAAATCTGCAAATTGATTATCTCTGTCTCCAAGGCTTTCATGGAACTATTTAACTCTTTGGTGACATTACGAGTGTACTGTTGACACAGTTGTTTGATTTGGATCTTCCCAAAATCCCACCACTGATTTAAATCTTGAAAGGAATCTTTTGTTTTTCTAAAATCTTCCCAAAAAAACTTAAAAACTTCTTTAAAATCCTTATTACATAGTAGATTGGTGTTGAAGTGCCAATATGCACTGCGGGGCTTAACTTCATTTAAAAAAAAGGAACATAAAACCATATGGTGATCAGAGAAACTGACTGGAGAAATGATGCAGCTTTTAAAAATGCTCAAGTGATGTTTAAAACTATAAAATCGATCTAGTCTCGCAAGAGAGAGAAAATTATCACGAGCATGAGCCCATGTATACTGTCTCTGTCCTTCATGAAAATGCCTCCAAATATCACTTAGTTCATTCATATTAATACATTTAGTGAGACGTTCACGTGAAGGCATATGTGGTTCAATATGGTTCCTGTCTATATGACTTTCTGTACAGTTGAAGTCTCCTCCTAAAAACAAATATTCTTCAGTATTGCACTTTTGTAGCACAGTATTAAGTGTATCTAAAAACACTAATCTTTCTATTGCCGATGTTGGAGCATAAACGCATATAAAAATGAGAATGTATTTTTCAAAGATTGCTCTTATTTTCAAAAGTCTTCCTTTCACAATCTCCTCTGCTTGAAAAGATACTGGACAAAAATTTTTTGTAAATAAAATGCCCACTCCACCACTGATTGTGGTGTTATGACTAAAAACAGCATTTCCATCCCATTCTTGCATCCAATCAACTTCATTCTTAAAGTCACTGTGTGTTTCCTGAATAAAAATAACATCTATGTTTTTCTGTTTAATAACCCCAAACAATTCAGCTCTTTTTTTGTAATTTCGTGCACCATTCAGATTTAATGATGCTATACACACTTCAGCCATAGTCAAACATAAATAGAAAAGGAAACACAAACTATTGTGATTCATCTTCATAAAGTTATGCTTTTTCACTTCCATCATTCAGGTCTGCATTGAGTTTCCGCACTATTTTTTTCAATCGATACACTTCTTTGTTGGAGAAACAACCTTCAGCCATAAAACCTTTAACTTTATCCACAAACTGCTCAACATCTGGAAAGTATTCATTTACTAAGACTCCCCTCTTGTTCTTTGTTGACCTTAGAAATAGTTTAATATCATCTACTCCATAATTGCGACTAGAAAACTCACTCTGAGACAGTGTAAGACTTGAATCAGATAGCTCGCTGTCACTCTCTGACTCAAGTTCATCTTCCATATCTACTTTTTTCACTTGCCGAAAACCATGCACACTGTCTGACTTTTTCCTTTTTAATGGCACCTTAAATACTGTTTTCTCCACGTCTGTTTCATTTTGCATATCATCAACCTCCCGAACATCCCTCAAAACAACTTGCAGATTTTGTTTATCGCTTGACTCACCTTTGTCTTCCTCGTCATCAACTTCTTTTGCATTTTGTGCTTCCACCTCCACTGAAACCGATTCATTCTCCATAGGATCCACACTGTGATCGCCATCATGCCCGGTCGCTGCCACTACCGCGGGTTCCACCTCGGCGGCCTCATCGGCCAGTTGTTCGTCACCATTAGCTGCGTCGCTCACATTAGCGGGGCGATTGCTTTCTTCTTGTTTGTTGGGGCAAATACGGACCAAATG